AAAGCTTAACGTCCGCACCTATAAGCCACTACGCCATTCCATCTTTTGTGTTCAAAAATAAATGAATAAAAACCTTATTTCTTTATTACTTAAATGCAATTCAAATAAATAATACATATTACGGTTAGCAACTAAAAACTAAAAAAGTAATATTTAAAATCAGTATTTTATAAAATAATAGGAATAAATAATATATCAAATCCACATTTATATCAAAATATTATTTGAATATCAAAAAAATTATAAATATATAATATTAATAAGAGAATAATTATTTTAGTACTTAAAATTTATAAATTTTCACATGATATATATATATATTAATTTACATTACATAAAATCATAATTATTACTTAGAAAATAAAAACATTGTTTACAAAATATTCAAGAATATAATCTTAAATTGAATCTATCAAATCTACTAATCTACATTTATACCAAAAAAATGATTTCTAATTATAAAATTATAGGAATAAAAATATAATAATGGAATAATCATTTTAAAAGTTAAAAATTATGAATTTGCATATGAAATGTATCTTAGAAATTTTAATAGATTTGATATATTTTAAAAAAATATGAATTTGCATATGAATTTAATATTCGGTTGACCTCTTTGTTAATGTAAAGAAGTAAAAATAGTAAAATCGAAAATAATTGATATAATAATTAAAACATAATAGGAAAATATGTTATGCATTTTGGACTCTTGATTGATACATTATCAATAAAATTGTATGATATCTATGCACCATATTATATTAATTGTAATATATTTTTTTCATATACATCATTAAAATATATATTTTCTATTTATTTATACATAATTTATGGTTATTTGACCTTAAATTTAATATTATTAATGTATTATGAAATTTTTATGTGTTTCCGTAGTGTATCCATATTTTTCGTCCATATCCATGTGTTTCCAAAGCATATCCATATCCATATCCAAGTTGTCTGATACGATACTCGTTACCAATACTTTAATCCTTGCCTACAGTAATTTTATTTGGTATAATTTGCAGCCCAATCCTATTTGTTCTAAATTTAGACAGATTCTTATTCACATTGGATTGAGAGAAGCATTGGAGTAACCTACTCTTTAGAGCATTACCTAGGATCACATCCGACCATTTGCCTATTTCAATTTTTAAGGAAGATTTTCGGTAGAAGAGGCCTAACACTATTCAGGTTTGAGAATATGTGGTTATGTGCAAATGAATTTACAGAAGAGGTCAAGGAATGGTAGGAGGAGAATAATCCAAGGGCTAATTGGAAAGGTATGAAGTTCCACCGGAAACTAAAGGAACTCAAAGCCAAAATTAAGGAGTGGAACATTGATATAGGAGATAACTCAAAGCCAAAACCAAGGCTGCTCTCCTTTATGAATTTTATCTATATTAATAAAGCTTTCATTGATTTTACTGTTCAAAAAAATTAAGGAGTGGAACATCCATCAATTCAGGAGACTAAAGAGGAAATAAGAGAAAACTAGTAGGATTGAAGAAAGGTGGCCTTTAAGGAGACAATTGGAAGACTTGTTGTTTTGGAGACAAAAATCAAGGAATAAATTGGCTTCAGGAGGCAAATGGGAAGATGAGGAAAAAATGTCTCCAAATTGGTGGTGGGGATGTTACTCTGACTCGTCATAATGAGATCGCCCGAGCCTTTGTGGGTCATTTTAAGTCAATCTTTAGGAGATCCCTGGATGGAAGAGTGTGGCTTAATGGTTTAGATTGGCCTAAACTGACTAAAAATTCTAAGGTTTGGTTGGAAAGGAGTTTTGAGATTGAGATCAAAGAGATTATGTTTTCTATGGATAGATCTAAAGCCCCTGATCCAAATAGTTTTACGATGGCTTTTTACTAAGATTGCTAGGAAGTATTTAAAGATGATCTACAAAAAGTCTTCAGTGAATCTTTTGGGAGAGATGTAATCAATTCAGGCTTAATTACACATCTATTGCCTTAATCCCTAAAAAACTGATGTTGTGCACCCAAAGGATTACAAACCAATCAGTTTGATAAATAGTTTGTACAAAATCATTGCTAAGGTGCTTTCTTAGAGAACTAGTGTTGTATTACATTCCTTGATCTCACAGTCCCAAGGGGTCGTTGGTAAGGATAGGCAAATTATTGATTAGATCTTAATTACTAATGAATGTATTGAAGAAATAAAGAGATCAAGAAGGAAGGGATTGCTAAGGTGCTTTTTTGAAGAATTAGTGTTGCATTACCTTCCTTGATCTCACCGTCCCATGGGGCCTTTGTTAAGGATAGGCAAATTATTGACTAGATTTTATTTGCCAATGAATGTTTTGAAGAAATAAAGAGATCAAGAAGGAAGGGATTGATCTATAAATTGGATATGGAAAAGGCTTATGATCTGGTCAACTAGGGCTTTTTGGTGGAAGTAATGAAAATTTTGGTTTCGGTGATAGATGCTGCAATTGGATCTTAGCATGTATTAGGACATGTCATTACTCGATTTTGGTCAATGGAACTGTGGTGGATCACTTCAAGGCTAGAAGGGAATAAGGCAATGGGACCCCCTTTCCCCATTCTTGTTCACACTAATTGCAAAAGTTCTTGGGAGATTGATCTCTAGGGTTGATCCTAGGAATTTAGTGAGGGGTTTGAAAATTGGGAAAGAGGAAATTCCTATCACCCACCTACAATTTTGTTTTGTGATGGAAATGATACGAGATGGGTGAGAAATTTAAAGATGATAGTGTTGATTTTTGAAAGAATATCGAATTTGAAAATGATAGTGTTGTCTTATGGTCAACATGGAGAATATACATGTTTTTGAAGGGGCAGAGTTGTTGGAATGCAAGGTAGACCACTTGCTTTTGAACTATTTGGGTTTACATCTGGGGGATAATCCAAGTGGAAGCTACTTTTGAAACCCAATAGTCGAGATTTTCTAAAAGATTGGATTCTTGGAGGAAAAGCTACTTGTCCTTGGGGGGTAGGATAACTTCAATTAGATCCACTCTAGCAAATTTGTCAATTAACTTCTTGTCTAACTTTAGAATTGTAGGAGGGATTAGCAAGTAGATAGAAAAGATTATGAGGGGTTTTTTGTTGGAACTAGGGGAGGAGAAAAAAGACCACAAAGTTAGTTGAGAGGTGGTTAGAAGAAGTAAGAAGTTTGGTGGGCTATGACTGAAGAATTTTCAAGAAAAGAATGCAGCTTTACTAGTTAAATGGTTGTAGAGATTGCCAATTGACAGGGATAAGTTGTGGGAGAAGGTTTAGTATTCGTGGACTTGGAGCTAATGGTTGGGATGTTGGTGTGCTGGGCAGGGCTACAAGAGCTTCCCCTTGGAAGTTTATCCATGCCATCCTTTATTCTTACCATTTGTCAAGTATAAGCCTTGCTTTGGTAATCTTGTTAAATTCTTGGAGCATCTATGGTTGGGTAATTTAACTTTTGAAGAGCAGTTTCCTTCAATTTATGCAACATCTAACCAAAGGGACGAACCTATTACTTCATTTATAACTCCTTCCAGTTCTTCTTCTGGATATGTTTGGGATCTGGGCCAAAGGAGAGGTTTAAGGGACTGTGAGGTCAACAGTGTTCTTACCTTGAACCAAATTCTTAAGGGAGTGTGTATTTGGATCCCTCAAGAAGTGACTACCAAATCTGGACTGTCTCCTCATCGGGTACCTTCACCTGTGTTTCTTTCTTTATATCCCTAACTCAGCCAAATGATAGTCGGGCCAACTTTTGCAGTTAATGAGGCTCGGAGTAAGCCTATTCTGCCTAGAATTGGTGGCTTTGGCTATGAAGGATTCTTGATAGGGTTAATACATGCAATCTACTCCAAGGGAAAAGACCTAACTGGTGTCTTCTCTATAAGGATAATGGGGAGTCTTCCCATCACTTATTAATCTCCTGCCCTTTTGTATCTCCAATTTGGGAATGGTTTCATTCCTTATTTAGGTGCAGATGGAATCCCCACCAAACATACAAAGCTTGTTTGATCCTACCTTTGTTAGCTAACAAAAAAGAAGGGGCGGGATTTTATGGAGTACAAGAGCAACTATGTGCAGAAAAAATAAATCAGAGACTATTTGCAGAAAAAGAAAGAGGTAGAGAAGCTCTAATTGAAGCAAATACAACCAGGGTGATCCATCAGGTGAAGAGTTAGAAAATCTTTGAAGGAGTCTCTTTTATAAGGATAAAAAGAAATTTCATTAAACTGAAAAAAGGGAGTACATCTCAAAACCAATGGTTGTCAAATTGACAAACCAGATACACACTAGGAATCAAATTGAAAAGTTGTAAGGAATTACTGATAGAAGGGATTATGATAAAAGTGATCTCATGGGTAAAATCAATGGGTTTGTTCTCAAACTTTACTGTGCATGATATAATCAGGAACTGGAGGACTGTAGCATCCTCGTCATTAGCAAAATAAGGTGTTAAGAAGCTGGGATCCTCCTCCTGAATCTGGATTCCTCAAATTAAACTTTGATGGGAGCAGCTTTGGCAACCCGGGTGTGGCTGGAATTGGTGGGTCATAAGAGATGACATGGGGAAGGTAGTGGGGCTGTATTCGAGCCCTATTGAATGGGGAGACTCCATTACAGCTGAACTAAAAGCAGTGGTCTTTGGAATACAAAAAGTCATGGAAATAGGTGTGAGAAAGCTGGTTGTAGAAGGCGACTCCAAAGTAATTATAAGCTGGCTAAAGCAGAATGGAAAGACTCCATGGGTGTTCAGAAATGAGATCAAGAAACTTTATCACATTACCAAGAACATGCAGTTATTATTTCAGTGGACTCCAAGAGCAGCAAATGGGTTTGCGGACCAGCTAGTGAAGCAAGGGGCTAATAGGGAACATTGTTTTTGGGCTCAGTTGTAAGGATGTAAAGCAAAACCTTAGGTGGAATCTTAAAGGATAATGGGGTAGCCGAGGCTACTCAAGTTCTGTACTAATTCTCATATCATTTTCTTAATAAAATTACTTTTACTGATAAAAAAAAAAAAAAAAACAGAAAATGAATCATTGTTACAAGGCTGTAAAAAGGTGTTCCAAAATCTCTCCAACAGATCAGCTTTGGTTACTTGATCAAAGCCTGGAAGTCTAAGAGCCCAGTCTGAAATCAGGTTGCTCACTGCTGCTACCAGATATTCAATACTTTTTGACTTGTCCTCAAAAACCCTTCTGTTTCTCTCTTTCCATATAGACCAACATACTACAAATGGAACACAGCTCCAAAGAATTCTAGCTTTCTTGCTTCCTCTGAGTTTTGGCCATTTGGAGAAAATCTCTGCTGGAAACAATGGTTGGAAGACACTCACTCCAAACAAAAAGGAGAAGAACTTCCAAATGAAGTTTGCTACACTGCATGAGAAGAACAAGTGAAGGATTGTTTCTTCCTTCTGTTTACATAAGTAGCAACAGTTTGCCAACTGTTATCCCCTAGACTTAAGGTGGTCTGAAGTGAGAATATTGTCATGCGCCACCAGCCAGGCAAAGTGGAGGGAAGTCGTTGATTCTGCTCCATTGAAAGTTGTTACAAGGCCGTCCTGGACTCCTCCAGCCAATGGATTTTTCAAGCTGAATTTTGATGGTAGTAGTGAAGGTAATCCAGGACCATCAAGCATAGGAAGCACTTTCAAAGATGAGGATGACATAATTAGGGCTCTTTCTCTGGGCCTATTGGAGTAGGTGGCTCTTTGAGAGGTGAAGTCTTTGTTGTTATGGAAGGAATTCAGAAAGCCAAGGAATTAAATATTTCTAAGCTGATAATAGAAGGGGACTCAAAGCTTGTTATTGGTTGGCTTCAAAAGGAGATGGGATAGTGGGATTACATAAATGAAAAAAAAAAAGGGAAGTTCAGGTATCTGACACAAGGATTGGAAATTCAGCTGCATTGGATTAAGAGAGATGCTAACTGTTTGGCCGGAGCATTGGCTAAGCAAGGGGTGGGAAGAAGCAATTTTTTCTGGGCTATGTTTTAATTTATTTCATTCAAAATTTGGGGGGAGCTAAGAGAGATTATATCCCCTCTCCTCTCTATAATTTCTTTAATTTTCTTTAATGAAATTCATTCAGTTATTGATCAAAAAAAGAGAAAGCCTTGAGGAATTTGAGAGGAGGAAGAAGGAAGAGAGGATAAAGAAAGTTGTAATTGGAAGAGGAGAGATTTGGGACAAGGATGGTGACAGGCAGGAGGAATTGTTCGAGGGGGAGGATTAGGGAGAAGACCATTATAGGTTTTGCTTGGCTTTGGAATAGGTGGAGGTGGGTGGAGTTGTTGGGAGATATGGTGCTATTCAGTCTGTCTCTATTAGAGTATTGTAGTTTGAGGTCTTTGGTTATAAGTTGTGCCTTAGTGTATTTCTCTTTCTCTTCGGTTATAAATTATCACCTTCCTTTTTGTATTCTCTCTTTCATTTTAATGAAACTCTTTTTATCTTTCAAAAAAAAATATTGCAATAGAGCAGCTCATCTGGCTACCCAACAAGGTCTCAAGGAATCAAAGTTTTTTCTTGGAGACTTTCCAGCCCGGTTGGGGGATATATTATAGCAGAGGACTGCCACATCTTGCAAGCTTTTATTTCCTAGTCTGTGTTCTTTTGTTGAGACAGATCTTTGGTTGTTGTTTCAGCCTTGGTTGTTGTCTTGTTTTCCGGTGGCTGTTTTTCTTTCCGTTCCTCGTTGTTCATTTCTCTTCTGCTTTAATGAATTACCTTTTAACCAAAAGAAATGTGGTATTAACAAAACATGCTTTGACAAATTTGTTTCCTAAGTCTAGATCAAGTACTAGTAAGCACAACTCCAGCCCTAGTGAGGCCTGAATCGCTTTTTGTGTTTTAAACACTGGTTACTGGGGGTTTAGAACAAAACCTCTGTTTTTCCGTGCACAGAGCTGCTATGTCATAAATGCCTCTACTTGTAAGCAACCTGGAAGGAAAAATAGAGACATCAGATATATGGCAGGATATCTTAAATGGGTATTTTATAACAAATAGATATTAGAATTTTAAACCATCCAAACACTTTTTGTCCCTTTTAATCTTTCCTGAAACAATGTTACAGTTTAATGACTTCAATCAGAACTCCAAGGTACTGGACAGCATATCCTTGACCATTAAAAAAAAAAGAAAAAAAAAAGGAAACTTTCATTCCAAAAAGGAAGGATGTAAAAGCATTTGCACAATACAAAAATCCCCTTCCCAATCCTGATTTATGTAAAAGAATGTGAAAGGAATTGCATTAATCAAAGGGACAACCTGACTGTCCACACAATCCTGATCATATAAAATCCCCTTCCCAATCCTGATCATATAAAATTTCAAGTTTTCTATATGACTGTCCACACACCTTATGATCTTCTTAACTATCATCTGACCAATTCCCAGTCCTCTTAGTGAAGGGACAACCTGAAAGGAACTGAATTCCATGATAAATCCAATTGGAAAATATGTCTTGAATCCTAAATTACCTTATAGAAGGTAACACAAAGATTAGTAGACCAAAAATAGTAATTATGAAATTTAATTAACATTCTGGGGGATTAGAGAGATTGCTATAATTCTCACCTAAGAAAACCACACATAATTTTCTGAAAGCGCATGATCTTCAAATAGATGTCAATGGTTTTCGGTGAATGTAAATCACTACCAACAGAAAAAACAACATCGAATCATTTCACAGAAGGGTACAAAATGATTAACGAGAAGGGTCAAAATGGTGCCTTGAGAAGAAAATGCTCCAAGCTGATAAGAATGTCGGATTGAGACTTCAAGTATTTTAAATCGATAGAGTATATTGAGGCTCCAATTCCAGCAAAACAACGTTTGTACATAGTTCTACCAAAAAAATATATTAAGCCTGACTTATTCTATCAATCCCCTAACCAAAGGATCCGAAGTAATCAAGCAAACAGTTGTATCTTTAGAAGGATGGCCTTAGATATCCTCCTAAAGCCTAAAGATGTTACTATTACAACCCTTTACCATACCACAATTAAGAGGGGCCATGACTGAACAGACTATAAAATGGTTACCTAAACCGATATCCGATGGATCTCCGAATTCAAGTTCCAATGCAACGATCGGCCAAAACAACCAATTCTAAGCCAAAAGTGAAGTACTATTCACAAACAAGAAAAAAAAACGAACAAGGCCGGAACCCAAAAAAAGGACACAGTAGCGAGAGAGAGAGAGAGAGAGAGAGAGTACATAGCATGTAAATTTAATACGACCAAACGTCTAAATGATAACACTCGTTACTCGTATGTAGTGAAACGGAAAATACAAATAATCCCCTTAAAATAAAATTCCATATAATGGAATCAAGAACCGTTCTCGTACCATGACATCGTAGATTGAAGCTGTCAATCCATTATCAGAAACTGCCCGGCCAAAACCGACCAAACGACCGTTGGATTCCGTCACTGGAGTTGCTCTCTCGAACAGTTGTCCGAACACAAATCCTAATCTCCTGATAGTGGAGCCGTCTGTCGGGGGATCCCCATAAGAGAACTCCGGTTTGCAGAATACGGAGACTACAACGGAACTGTGAGAGAGAGCAATTCTGAGCTTGCTGATATCGACAACTTCAACCCGGCCATCGGGGTTGAGGTTCGGGAATCTGTGGCACGAGATATTGCAGGAACTGAATAACTCCCTAAGGTGAACGAGATTAATGTGAGATGGATTGGTGGAGATGAAAATGGGAGGTCGGACTCTCTCCCTCTTCTGGGTTTTCCCTGTCGATGCACATATTTGCAGAGTTGAACCAGCGCGAACGCCGCGTACAGATATTGCCATGAAACCGACGCGAAGTAGCAAACCCCAGGAGAAGCAGGGAATCGGATTGGGTAATGTACAAGTACTGTTTACATGCACTTTGGGTAAAGTTTGGGCACCGGAATTAGGAAGCACATCGTCACATCGATGAGCACTTCGATTAATATTCTCGTAACCGTCAAAAGTGATTTTTAATGTTTTTGAAGGGAGAAATTACAGTTTACTATCCTGAACTTTGCGGGTACTGTCAAAGTTAGTAACTGAATTTTCAAATGTGTCACTTCAGTATCAAAACTTTAAAAAAGAAGTGTATGGTCCCCAACGTTAATCGACTGTAATCTTTTTTGTTGAAAATGTCGAAATTATCTTTTACAAAAGATATCGTTCATTGCCTTCTACTTTGAGATTTAGGTGTTTGAAATTTTAGATTCTAAAGTTATTGTGCTACCATTAATCTGAAATACATTTTTATCTAATTATTTCTTTGTTTTTGGTTATTGTTTCCTTTTATTTTATTTCATATTTTTTTCTCTTTTTATTTGAAGATAACGGATTCAATCTCAATCTCAAGGTAGAAGATAATGAACAATGTCTTCTTTTAAAAAATAATTTTAATATTTTCAATAGATAACTAAGGATCAATTAACAGCAAGACTAACTTGACACTTTTTTAAAATTTAAGTACTATAGTGACACATTTGAACATAAACATTTCTAACAAGAACATCACTCAGCAGTCACCACTTAAACATAAACATTTCTAACAAAAAAAAAAACATATATAATCATTTCTTGTAGTTGCAAAGATCTCCAACGCAAAAAAGTTATTATTTGAACATTTCAACAAAGAATGCAGGATAGGATGGACACACATAAGCATTAAATCTTCGATTGATAGAGGAACAAAAATTTGGGATTTGGAGTTCGAGAACAACATTTCTGACAACATGGTGCTCCTCTTCATGAACATCACCAACATCGTGAAAACACACTAGCCGCAACATCAGCCTTACCCATGTCCAAAGAAATAGTACCAATGATGGCTTAGTAAACACCAGAAAGGACCGATGCAGAGTAGAGTATGTTTTCCTTTAAATTCTCACCCATCACCATTTTGTCCAACTCAACTCTAACCCCAACTCATCAAAGGTAGCAAAGAGATGCTAAAGTTTGAATGATGTTGATACACCAAATGGCTAAAGCTCTGTAGTTTTCTCCAGATATAAGGGGTGGGTCATGGCGGGACGAAAATATTCAATGTTCTTAAACTAATATTTGCAGGGAAAAGAAAAACCAAAACAAATTAGATGAGCTTTACGAGGAAAAAACAAGGACCGAGAGATACATATTTAGGAGTTTGGTTTAAGGTTTTGATAATCAAGAGAACTTTGTTACAAACTGTAAGACATTTTTTAAATAGTCCAACCTAAGGAAGGGTATACAATAAGAAGGTGGTGAGAGAAGAAGAAATGTGAAATAGTGAGAAAATGGAATTATATCTTGCAAATGGCTTCTGCCCCTAGGTGAAAATTGAAGAGAACAATTTTATTGTCAATGATTTCTGCCCTTGTGTCACAAATGACTCTTTCACCGCGCCATCAAGCACCTACCGTCGTGCCATCAGAGTGCCTATAGCGTACCTTCATGGTGTTATCATGTGTGTCATGGGTGGGCTATGTATGTGTCTTGTAAGGGGGGACCGCCAATGGCATTATTGTAATTACTTAGTATGATTTTCCACTCTTTTGATGTTTTCTTTTGTCACTCCCCCAAAAACTTAACGTACTCTTTGAGGGGAGGTAAGTAGTCGAGTGAATCAGTAGCGTATAAAGGTTAAGCACGAGATCCCCTCGACACTAAACTGTGTGCTTGTGCTTGTCATCTATTAATGCAATATAAATAGCCTTTTGCTAATTCGTATGCCATCTTGTTGCCTTTTTGTGTGTGTTTGCTTTGTTGCTTAAGCTTATTCGCCCCATTCGAGTGCCGCACAGGGCCTCAACGATTAACCCCATGATAGTTGGTATCAGAGCAAGAGCTCCTTCCTAATTATTCGACCCGTGATGCGAGTGACAGCATGAAGCACAACAAAGACATCATGGAGGAGATTGAGCATGGACTCTCCACATCCCATGAGCCCGATGATGCACCCGCCAACGACATCGGCAAGGACAAGGAACTGAAGCCCAGCAAACGTGAGAAATCTTCCAACAAGCATGCAACCATTGACTTGTGCATGCTACATTGCAAAGCCACCGTAGGTGAGATGCAAGAATCGATAGGCGAGCTGCATCAAAACATGGAAGCCATGGATAGTACATTGGTTGAGATGGAAGGTCGCCTGAGTGGAGTTGTGGACGAGGTCCGTGACATAATCAATGGCACGCTCAAGGAAATTTGCAACACTACGTGCTAATAATAAGCAAGCTCATCCAACTCGCAGGTCCAAGACAATATTGACAGTTTTCAAGCCCAACTCAATGAGATGAAGAAAAAATGGGCAATGTGGAGAAGAACCATCTCCATATCAATGGTTGTCTAGACCCAATTAGATGAAATGAAAGCGGAGTGGGTCTCAATGAAGTCAGCCGCGTGTGACTCCTTCGACGTCCAAGCTCAACTAGAGGAAATCAAAGCTGAATGTGCAATCCTAAAGAGGGCCATCGCCAATCCAGCCAGCACCTCATTTGCACATACTCCCTCCCACATCAAGATTAGGGAGCCAACACCCTATTCAGGTACTCGCAATGCACGGGAGCTTGACAACTTCTTGTGGAAAATGGAACAGTACCTTGCCACAACCAATGTGACTGACGAAACGACTCAGGTGCGTACTGCTACTATGCATTTGACTGATGTCGCTATGTTGTGGTGGCATAGAAAGTGTGTTGACATAGAACGTGGTACGTGTGCTATTCGTACCTGGGCTGACTTTAAGCGAAAGCTGAAGAGACAGTTCTACCTAGAAAACGTGGAGTACCTCACTCATCGCAAGATGAAAGACTCTCAAGCATTGCGACTCGCTCCATGAATATGTCAAAGAATTTTCAGCCCTCACATTGGAAGTCACCGATATGTCAGACAATGACTTATTGTTCAACTTCATGGATGGCCTAAAGCCTTGTGCCGAGCTCGAGCTCCAACGACAAAATGTTCAAGACCTTGCCTCCATCATGGCCGTGGCCAAACAACATAGTGAACTGAGACTGTCGGATGATGAAGGAAGCAGACCAGCCAGCCTGCGTACCACACATTCGAGTGGGGGAGATAGACAACCAAGTCCCCCAAAGGAGAAGCAACCCTTCAACCACAAACCAGTCGAGCACCACAAAGGGAAGCAGCCACAAGGAAGTCGAAGCTACTACAACAACAGATATCAAGGGAGACCTAGCCGTCCTCCCACTTGCTACATTTGTGGGGAGGAGCACTTGACCAAGAATTGCCCAAAGCGAGAGAAGTTGAATGCCTTCATTACCAAACTAAGTGATGATGAGCAGAGTGATGGGGAACGGAGTACCCAGGCGCCAAGAGTGGGCGCCCTCCAACTTTTCAAAGCAGCCTTAGCGGGACTGAGGCATAATGACATATGCCTTAGCGGGAGCCCGCCTCAGTCAAGAGAGGACTGAGGCATAATGACATATGCCTTAGCGGGAGGCCAACCAAGGCCCTAGTTGACACAGGGGCCACTCACAATTTTATCTCCACTGTAAAGGCCAAGAGACTTAACTTGGCCATTTCAAAAGAGCCTGGCTTGCTCAAAGCTATTAGCACAGGTGCAAAACCCATTGAAGGCATGGCTCGTCGAGTAAGACTTTGAGTCGCCACCTGGGACAAGGAGATCGATCTCTCCGTAGTACCCATGGATGACTTTAATGTTGTCCTGGGCATGGACTTTTTGACACAGGCAAGAGCTGCACCAGCACCTCATCTAAACGCCTTGCTGATCAAGGACGAGTCGTCACCCTGTATGGTCAAAATGATTGTTTCAGCTGATACCAAGAAGAAACAAGTCTTAGCCCTTCAGCTCCAACATCCAACACCACATCAAGAGACGTCAAAGGACTCGACAGCAGCAACCAAGGACACTACCACCAGACATGATCATGCCAACTCCAACAAGAAGACAGCGCCACAGCAGCAACGACATCAATAGAAGCCACATCCGCAACAGAAGCCTCATATGCCCTTAACTGATGGGCCCAACAGAAGACCCAAGGCCATGTCCAATTTCGCCCACATCTACTACCACAACCAACGAGGAGAGCGAGTGCGACCCAAGCCATTTAGGAACCACTTTCGCACCATTCCTTAGGCTAAATCTCGTAGTAGCCCTGTGAGTCACCATTGGGGAAAAATTCATAGGAACCAACACCCCAACAATCAAAAATACCATTTTGACCCCTACTTGGCCCAAACCTTCCCTATAGCCAAGCTGAATTAGCCACTAACATACCTTGAGGTCGCCAGGAAAGGACTTAGCCATAGGAAACCCCAACAGAACAAGCCAACCCAACCATGCCACCAAAATATACACCTCGGCCTTAGACGACAGCCGGTTCGTGGAACAGCAGAAGAACCTTCCTTCCGCATCAGTGACTCTAAGGGACTAGTCGAAGCCGATCTCCAAGGACATAGGTCGAATTGAGCGGGGGATACTGTCACAAGTGACTCTTTCACCATGCCATCAAGCACTTACCATCGTGCCACCAGAGTGCCTACAACGTGCCTTCATGGTGTCATCATGTGTGTCATGGGTGGGCTATGTATGTATCTTGTAAGGGGGGATCGCCAATGGCGTTATTGTAACTACTTAGTATGATTTTCCACTCTTTTGATGTTTTCTTTTGTCACTCCCCCAAAAGCTTAACATACTCTTTTAGGGGAGGTAGGTAGTCGAGTGAATCAGTAGCGTGTAAAGGTTACGCACGAGATCCCCTCGACATTGAACTATGTGCTTGTGCTTGCCACATATTAATGCAATACAAATAGCCTTTTGCTAATTCGTGTGCCATCTTGTTGCCTTTTTGTGTGTGTTTGCTTTGTTGCTTAGGCTTACTCACCCCATTCGAGTGCCACACGGAGTCTCAACGATTAACCCTGTGACACCTGGCTAAAGAAGAAAGGGCTAAGGAGTTTGGTTTGCAATGGACTGACTCCTGCCTCTCAAACGGAGAGTATTCAAACTTGATTTTCTTTGCTTTTTCTATTATTTTTAAATTTGAAAATATAAAATATAAAGAACTAACACGGCGAAATTTGCCATTTCATAATATTTTGCACACGAGAACAAGGGTGTCGTGCTTATATGCAATAATATGATTGGAAGTGCACCCTTGCATACACCAAAGCAAGGGCAAGAGATACAAACTCGCGTTTCAAAATATAAAATGTTGCAAGTGGCAAGTGGAATCATTGTTTTTGAGTACTTAAAGTCTTTTGGATATGAATGTAGAACTAAGAAGCTATTAGAAGCTAATACGTGTGTTGATGGGTTGGAAAAAATATATATATATATATATATATACACATACACACTAGTAATCAAGCACATGCATTGCACGTGAGAAAATTTTCTTCAAATTAATTACTTGAATTTTAGATATATCATAGTTAAGATTAAAATTAAAAATTAGCAAAAGTAACAATATAATTAAAAATAAACTTAACTGCTTGTAGTAAATGTGCTTGTGCATTGCACATAGAAATTTTAAATTACAACAACAACAACAACAACAACAACAACAACAATAATAATAATAATAATAATAATAATAATATGTTATTACTATTACTATTAAATTTTGTATTCCATTTTTTTCATAAGTAAAAATATTTTTTATTTACTATGATGAATATAGAACAATAGAAATGTTCCCAAATGTATTTCACAAAATTATGTGCTTTTTTATTTATTGTGTTCTATATTTTTTTAAACATTTATTTATTCAATTATGACATCATAAGTTTCTTTGAAAAGTTGGATCACTGACTCATCATCTAGATAAGAAAATAGTTTTACTTTTAGATTAGTTTTAAATTATATATTTAATCTATGTTACATAAATAATTTTTACTTATCACACTTAATTTTTATTTGATATAATCAATACACAATTTTTATATATTATTTTCATTACTTGTACTTTTTTTATTTTTTAAATATTTAATATTTAACTAACATATCATCTATTAATTCATTTGACACCAAACCACTAACCCACCACCCCAAAAAAAAGTTTGATTTCTAAGTTGACATTAAATTTTGTGTATTTCTACCCTTGATAAAATTATTTCTTAGGTATAACACTTATTTTTGTTCAATATAATGAATGTATAATATTAAAGATGTATATGTGCCCAATTTTTTCTCTATTTCTTTATTTGTATGATTCTTTGTATTTTCTATTTTTGACAAAAAAAATATTATTTGACTATGACATCATTTCATTTATAGGTTGATTTTAAATGTCATTTTCATCAGTAATAAAAATATTCCTTACATTTCATACTTATTCTTGTTCAGTATAATGAATATAAAAATATAAGAGATGTGCCCTTTTTTGTATTAAATATTTTATTTATTTTAATTGCATATTATTTAATTATGGCATTATCTATTAACCCATTTAACGTCAAATGGTTGAATTGCTTACCCACCATCAGAAGGGAAGAAAATGGTTTTGTTTTCAAAATATTTATTTTTATACTATTAAAATTAATGTTATTGGTTTAATTCATATAATTTAATGAGAAGAAAAATATATCTTAAGTGTAGGATTTAATGAGAGAATATACCTTAGATATGAGATTTAATGAGAACGAATAGGAAAATAGTTTTATTTTCAATTGGTTTTAAATTTTACATTCATTTCCACCATTAATAAAAACATTTCTTAATTATCATATTTATTATTGCTTAATATGTTGAATATATGATGTTATAAATATTCCTATTTTTTTAATTTTTAACTTTTTTTTACATTTTATCTATTTTTGATATTATTTAATTGTGATAACATGTGTTAGCCCATTTGACCCAAAATGGTTTAATTTCTTATCACCACCTAGATGAAAACATTATTTTTTTTTCATGTAGATTTTAAAAGTATTAGTTTTTATGTTATTGGAACTATTAATTTATTATGTATGGATTTATTTAATAAAACTTAATGATGAAAAAACAAAAAATGCCTTACCTCTTTATAAATCATTTAATATTATTAATAACCGATTACCCTTTATATATATATAAAAGCAAAAGGTTATATGGCTAATTGACATGCATTTGCCGAATTGAATCTTTTTTTATATAACCTAAATGAATTCTTATAATTTTTCCCTTTTCATGCTTGTAACCATTACCATTACAAATTTAATTAATTACAATGATGCCACTAAGCTTCTACATTTTTCATATTTGTTAAAAAATGATTTTATCTCTCATTTTATTTACAATCAGGCCATGTTGGGCCGTGTTGTTATTTCCTCCCCTATGATACTCTATAGAGTTAGCCCGAGCCTGTACAGGCTTGTGTCGTGTCATGGGTCAGGCTGGTTTGCGGGCCAAGTCTTAGGCTAGGCTAGGCTGGGCCATGACTCAGGCTAATCCATGTTTTTTAAAATTAAAAAAAATAATGAAAAAATTAACATAAATTAAAAAATATTAAAAATATCTCAAAATTTTATTTTATATGAATTTTGATGTATACAATTGTTTATATCTGCAATAATAAAATGAAATAATATAATAAATTTGAAAATAAAAATATATATTATATAATTATTGTATATAATAAATGACCCAAGCCCATGTGGGCCAAGTCTTAGGCCAGGTCGGGCTAAGCCATAAAAATTTAAAAAAATAGTGAAAATTTTAACATAAATTAAACTAAATGGACAAAAAATATCTTAAAATTTTATTTTGTATAAAATTTGATGTATACAATTGAAAATAAAATTATATATATTAATTATTATCGGGCCACAAATTGGGCTAAGCCATGTTTTTATAAATTAAAAAATAGATAATGAATTAAAAAAGATCTTAACATTTTATTTTATATGAATTTTGATGTGTAAAATTGTTTATATATGCAATAAGAAAATGAAATAATATAATAAAATTGAAAGTAAAAGTATATAAACTAATATATTATATAATTATTGTAAATAATTAAAAAAACAGACAAGGAATGTAGCATAAATTAAATAATTCTTAGGCCAGGCTGGGCTACGAACTGGCTAAGCCATGTTTTTTAAAAATAAAAAAAAATAAAAAATGTAGCATAAATTAAAAAAAAAACAGACAGAAATTAAAGAAGATCTTGAAATTTTATTTTAGCCCATGTGGGGTGCCATGCCACGTGCTGGGCTGGTCTGCTAGCCAAGTCTGGCCACGAACCGAGCTAAGCCTATTCATGGGCTCAATCTTGTGTTGATAATACATAAAGTTTTATTTATTTATTTACTTATTTTACTAAATTATTTAATTAGTTGATAATTATATAATCTAACTAATTATAGTTGCTAGCAAAGTAAGACATAGAATCTTGTATATATTTATATATATTTACTCTCTCACTTGATTGTCTATTTATCTAATTTATTTTATAAACTTATTTATTAAATTAAATTAATTATTGTTTAACTATTTACAATTATTCCACTATATAAAACAAAAATACAATGACAAAAGTCATCTCTCCCTCTTTCACTCTCTTGCCCAATGGCCGTGATTGTTTATTTATTGTTTTATTTTATTTTATTAAATATATTATTATCCATAAATTTTTATTTATTTTAAATAGATATTTTTCCAATAAACTTTTAATTACAAATTTACCTTTCTCAATTTTTTCTTATATAATAATTTACCTTTGATAGGCCACTTACCATCATGTTTTACCCTTGCAATGCAGGGCCCCTCTGTATAGTAGAGGTGATTATCTAAATCGTCCTCCTACTCAAGTGCTATTGCTTATGAGGGAAGATCTTTTTGAGTTCCCTCATTGGCGTAGGGGATAGGCTCTATTGTGGTTTGTTTGTTTTTATACTATCTTCTTGAATAAACAAATAGTGAGCATTCTTCCATGGAAAGAGCTAAGCTCAATTAGGTATGCACATGGAACGAATTGGATTCGAATAAGTGTATATCTAAATCCGATATCTGATCTCACAGATTGAATCTGATAAGAATGTTGGATATCCAAATATGATCCAATCCGATTTATTTTTTAATTAATAATTTTTTAAAAGAAAAAAGGAAAAACATAAAACATTCCAATCTAAATTCGACCCAATTTTTAATCAGATCCTTTTGTATAGGGATAATCCAAATTTTAATCAGATCCTATCATTCGATCCAATCTGAACATTCGATATCCAACAAAATAGGATCAAACTTCATAATTACATAGAATCATGATTCAATTCATTTCCACCCTAAGCTCAATGATCTTTTGTAGGGGAGGAGCAAAGTTTTTTTTTTTTTTTTTAATAGAGGCCAAAACTTAATTAAATGGATGAGGATAAGAGAATAAACATGGATGGGGTTGTGGGTGGAGCCTTTTCCTTCTATCCCAAAAAATAATGGATTTGATTTATCTTGATCTAAATAATGCTTTGATCACCTGTTATACGAATTACAATAAAAATATTAAAATATTATTATTCTCATCATTATTTGAAATCGTCACATGCCCATTTACTATATGCTGATGAAGGATAAAAGAAATAACAATCTGCCAGATATGCTTGGATCAGATGGCCACCATAAGCCCAAAAATATATGAAAGTACATTCAGACAAACATTCAGATCTCTTTCCCTTTCTCTCTTGGATCAGTTGGAGTTGAAATAAATCTCTCTCTTCTCTGTCTTCCATTATAATTGTAATTTCCCCGAATCTTAGTACACCACCTTAAATATCAGTCTGATGACACATGACAGGCTTGTTTTCCTTGAAAAAAAACCCTACAAGCCTACAACACATATTTAAAGAACCCAAACCACCTCTCATTTTTATTTGCAGGGTGCGCACTTTTAACAAAAGAAATAAACCTTCTACTTAACAGAACTTAAATTCCTCTTTACAGAAAAACCCATCTATTTTTTCCTATCTTTTTTATTCTTCTTCAACAATACAACTTTTTTCATCCATTCTAAGAGGCATGTCAAGTTTATATACCCACAGCTTCTTATCTGGAAGAGCTATTTCTCCACTAATAAGGAGCACCCCAGACATCGACAGGTACTCTACGAAACCACGAAGTCGTTTTCTTTGTTGTCGGGGTTTCTTTAATTTATCTTTTTCCTATATTTTTCTGAGTAATTTCTTAATTTTGTCTGATTTGCGCATTACTGAATTATATGCCCTGTTTTCTTTTAGTCAGTACTTGGCAGAACTATTAGCTGAACATCAGAAGCTTGGACCTTTTGTGCAAGTTCTTCCGATATGTAACCGACTGTTGAATCAAGGTTTGTACTTTAACTGGTTTTCATGGGTGCTTTTGGATATGGCTTTTCTGTATTTTTTATGGGCGTCTTTGGTTATGAGCTCTGTTTTAATTATTTACATATTCCGTAATAATAATGCCGTTTCTTTATGCATAAGACTTAAATCAGTTTATTGGGTTTGTCTTCACTGATCTTTGGCTGCTTGCGTCGACCCGTTCAGTTTTTGTTTTGAATAATCTGTTCCCAATGTTCATATTGCTTTTAACTCACATATCAAGAAGCAATGGAAATTATGAATTGCGACCAAAGTTTTCATGACATTTGTTTGGTATTTGTGGCTTCCAACTTTCAAATCAGTTTGGAATTGTGTAACCTTATTTGTGGTTTATATTAATCCCATTAACGAAATTGGGAGAAGTTTGTTAAATCAGTTGATCCTTGAAAGGTGCCTAAGTTTATCTCTTGCAGACGATATGGAGTTATCCTTATGACCACGATGAAAACAATAATATTAATTAATGATTTTGGAGATTTCTCAGCTAATGGAAAGTACGACAATTTTCAGAATGCAATATGAGAGATTTGCAGTTGTGCTAAACTTTGTTTGGTGTCAATGCAAGGTAGATTATTGTCACAGATTAATTCCGCATAAAAGTTCAGAAGAATAGAATTAGAGGAAACTAACTAGAATTTACATCATTACAACACTTAAAATCTTTAACCCATTGGTTTGCAGTAACTTTTGTTTTCAAAAACAGTAGGCAGGACGATGATGGAGTAGAAGTTTTTAATGGAAACAAAAATATACAAGTTATTCTACAATCTGATGGAAAAAAGTTATCCTGGAATGGTTTGATGTTCTGGAACTCTTAAGTAGAGGAAACATCCAAGTAGAAGTGTAATCATTGACATGGTGTGATAGAGTTAAAACCAGAAATGTAGAAAATACATGCATTATGTTCTCTCTCCTAAGGCCCCTTTGCTTTCCACAAGTTTGCATTGTTGAGTGAAGACTGTTGCAGTTTCTCCCTCAATGTACCCTTCTTAATCAGATGCAGGAACAGGCTTGCTAAAGTGGCCTAGTCTTGTTTTTTTTTTTCCTTTTCTTTTTTTTGATTAAGTTTTGGACACCTATGTGATTAACTTCTATATCCTCTATATGCTAGATTATTGGACTTGTATTTTATTTAGTTTAGGAGCTTGTATTCTTGGTCAGGGTGTCTAGGTGATAGTAGATTTACTTTAGGAGTTTGTACTCTTGTTGGAGGTAATTTAGTTTCATGGAAGAGTAAGAAACAGACAGTTGTGGCAAGGTCAAGTGCTGAAGCTGAATACAAAGCCATGTCACATGGTGTTTCAGAGCTCCTTTGGATCTGTTCTTATTAGGGGAGATTGGAGTTGAGGCCAAAAAACCTATGATGCTATATTGTGATAATCAAAGAACAATTAACATTACTCACAACCCAGTTCAGCATGATAGGATGAAGCATATAGAAGTGGATAGGCGTTTTATAAGGCAAAGAGTGACATCTGGAGAAGTTTGCTTGCCATATGTTGCATTTGACTTGCAGTTTGCTGATGTTCTTACAAAAGGAGTTGCAAGAAACAAGCTGAAGCATGATCTACGCAAGTTGGGAATGTGTGACATTTATTCCCAATTTGAGGGGGAATGTTGAGTCATGGGTTAATATAACTTGTTTTTATTTACATAGCATTTTTAGGGGGTTATTGGGCCTTAGGCCCATTAGTTTATGTTTTAAGTTAAGAGTGTTTTTTAAGTTCCCACAAGTGGCCGACTTACTAAGGGCATACTTGTCTTTGTACTCTCTTTTATTTATGAGTATATAATCTAATGAAAGGGGCAGTCTGACCTAATTCTAAGCTTCTCCCATTCTCTTTTATCTCTTTCTCAATTGAAACCTTTTCTTCTCTTTTTTTTTTTCTTCTTTCTTTTACAGTTTTTATACCAAAATAGGTTGTCAAAACTTTTTTACTCCACTGATGTGGTGTAGGAATGAAGAGCCTTTTGAGGACCATGGTCATCCAAGTAGTACAGTCCTCAACTTCACGACCGCCACTAATTGTCTTCCCTGTCTTGAGATCCTAAAAGACATAGTATGAAGGATAAAATGTTACTGAACAATGAAGGGTTTGAGTAAGCTTACTTACAGACAAGCGATTAAAGGGAAACTTGGGAACATAAAAAACATAGCATAAACTAAGGTCAGAACTAAGAGATACATTATCGGTATTAGTAATAGCAGAAGAAGAACCATCAGCTAAAGTAACGATTTGAGAGGTATATGGTGGTGACAATGATACAAACATATCTAAGGAGTCAGTCATGTAGTCAGAGGCTCCAGAATCAATTACCTAGGGTGAAGGTGAAGAACTAGAAACAAGGTAAGCGGTACTTGACTTCACAATTGTAGTAGTGGAAGAATTAGAAGAGGCAGACTGGTGAAGCTTTTCATACTCCTCACATGAGATAGAGATTGTGTCTTTATCCTTACCAACATCGGAAGCAGGAGCATCTTCTAAGACTCCCAAAGTCACCTTTCACCATTGCATGGTTAGCCCAGGAAGATGGAGGGCTATAAAGATCATAACAAAAGTTGATTGTGTGACCTTCTCATCCACAATGTGAGTGAGCTGAATCACGACCATTACCACTACGACCACCACCACCTCTTGCACCACCTCCTCGTGCACCTCTAGGCCTACGGTCAAAACCCCTCACATTACCTCCACCTCTACCACACATATTTCTACTAGGAAAATCTCCTTTGGAAACCACCGTGGCTGATCTCTCTAAAGGTAGGGGGTGATCACTATGTGGATTTGAGGCTTTCCTTATGCGGGAGAAAACCTCGGACAAGGATGGAAGATCACTGCTCCCTAAGATTTGGGCCCGTGCTAGTTCAAATTCAGACTTCAACCCAGATAAAAATCTTGCTACATTTAGATGTTCTCTTTGTTTTTGTTAAGTCTTTAAATCAATGGATATGAGTTGATAAAGAGCTCATTCCTTAAGCTTTTTAGAGAAGCATAGTATTCTTCAACACTTTTATCCCTTTGTTGAAGAGAAAAATAGTCTCGGTATAACTGGTAAATTCTTGTGACATTGTTTTGTCCAAAACACAATTGCTTGGCATGGTTCCAAATCTCCTTTGTCGTGTCTAGAAACATAAGGTTCACACTAATGTGATTCTCCATGCTATTCCAGAGGGATGTTATAATTTGGGCATTCTCCTGTACCCATTCATTGTACCATTTTGATTCACTTTTCAAAGGACCCTCCTTGATGTACTTCAACTTACCTCTTGCAATGAGAGATACATCAACCGACTTGGCCCATGGGATATGATTAGTACCATTGAATTTCACCGTAGTTAATTGAGAAATGAAATCTGATTGTACAACTACTGTAGATTTAGTGTTACTATTTGATGAAGCCATGAGTGAGAAGAGATCATTGATTTGTCACCTAGGCAAACTGTCAAACAGCTGGTATGCAACTACTGTAACACATCTTTTTCTTTAGGAAAAACACCAAAAATCGTCAGCCCTCTACTTTAGAAACACTTGGGAAAGATTACACACTTACCACAAGGTGTCACCATACCACAAACCACTACAAAATCACCACACATTGAGGAGCACCTACTTCACAACTCAAGACATCACAAGGTTGCCCTCTTCGAACTGCCGAATAGAGGGCTTTTAGAAAAACACCACTAACACACACAACACTGCAACTTGAGCCATTAAAGCCTCTTTTCCAAGTGGGCGACCAGTCCTCTTAAGTCCTTTTCCTCTCCAACAAAGAATAGAGAATATTCTCTATTCCTAGGGCACAAAAGTTGAGTCGTGAACAGTGCCATGAACAGTATGCTCGACCTTAAGGCTCTGATACCATGTTCCAACTTTAATAAAGAGAAGAAAAGGTGTAGAAAAGGATAGAAGAGAGAAATAGAAGAAGATAGGAAGAGAGAGAAGAAAATGAGAAGAAAAGAGGGAAGACTAGCAAGGAGAAATCTCATCCACCCCTCCTTACTGTTGACCCAAGTTGTATTAGTATTCTACTAAAGCTGAAATGACTACAATACCCTTAAGTAAGTTATAATAGACATAAGAGAGAAAAATAACATGAAAAAGACAATAATGCGCCTACTAACTAATTCTAACAATTCTAACACCAAACAAAGCCATAATCTCTTCAATGATTCTTTCCTTTCCTTCAAAAATCCTCTTATTCCTTTCCGCCCCAGAGACCAGCAAACTGCAAAGGGAATGCAGCTCCAGGAAATTTTAGCTCTCAAGCTTCCTCTGAACTTTGGTCATGTAGAAAAGATCTCTGCTGATGTTGATGGTTGAAAGATGGGCATCCCAAAGAGGAAAGAATAGAACCTCCAAATGAAATTTGCCAAGTGGTAGGAGAAGAACAAATGGAGTACAGTTTCCTCATCTGGCTTGCACATGTAGCGATAGCTAGCCAAACAGAACCCTCTACTTTTTAGATGATCTGTTGTGAGAATACTGTCCATTATAACCAGCCAAGCAAAAGCTTCAATTCTTGGGGGTACTGGATTTCCTCATATTCCACTCATTTGATCATTAATTACACTGTCTTTGATGAGAGCCATGTAAAATGATTTCACTGTGAATTTTCCATTTCTGCATTCCTTCCACCACAGACCATCTTCACTAGTTGTAGAGATTCTGGTTTGCTCTAATCTGTCCAGCAAGATAACACATTCCTCCAATTCTTGGTTGCACAGAGGTTTTCTAAACTTGGACTCCAAACTACTACAATCTTGGGCACAATTCACATAACTTCCCAACCCACTCCAATCATCCTCCCAGAACCTCACTCTGTATCCAGCTCCTACATTAAAACTAACCAGGCCTCTAAAATCCTGGTTAAAATTCATTATACCCTTCCAAACAATCACCCATAGGAATTGGATACCTCCCTTGGTTCCCACCCAAATCTCACCATCTAGTACTTTCCTACCACCACTTTTCTTCATAATGAATCCTTTTCCTTTTCTAGCCCAAACCTCCATAATCATTTCTCCATAAGAGCTTTATTGTTAATTCTTTGAAACTAAAGAACTTGATAGCATTTGGCATGCTATGTTCTTAGAATTTGGCATACACACATATGAGTTGTAGTTTCACTGTTCTTCATGCCTGCAGAGATTATACGAGTCTCTGGGATGGTCTCCAACCAAGGCTTTGGTGAATATGACAGACTGCAGCATGGAAGTCCCAGCCCCCTGGCATCTTCAAATCTTGTGTCACATGTTGGAGGAACAGGTATCAGTGCTTGGAATGGCTTTTCCCAAGAGGTAATGGTTGCATATTTTGCTAGTGGTATCCCATGTTTTCTCTGACTATATTTGTTGCAGTTGTGATGTAAATTCCTATCTTTCAAATGTTCCTCTCCTAATTCAACTGCCTTTGTAATTTTATATAGACATGCCCGCGGATTTGTAGCATTTTATAACGCATTTGATGGATATGGAATCTAGCTTGCACATTTGGGTTATTTTTAATTCGAAATGCTTTCAATGGAACCTGTTGAGTAGGTTCAATAACTCAGTTGGCCAGATATCTGTCCATCTTTCCTGACTTCTAACCTCATCTTTTCAGCAGTTCAAGTGCTAGCTCCACATGAGCAGAGGAGGGTGTAAGGGGCTTGAGATCCTATACTTGGTTTTTGTATGTTAAGTGGGCTTTCCCCACCAAGATTTGGCCAGTCATTCCTTAACTGGTGTGGCAGGTCTCTTTACTAGCAATATTGTTAATCAGTGATGAACTCATTTTCTCATGAGATTGGCTCATTATGAAGCTGCAATTTGATTGAATTTGTCAAACAATTGTAATGATGCAAGGGGTGGAGAATTATTATTTTTTTCTATTTTTAGTTATGCAATATTGTTTCACTCTTTTTTGTTGCATGTTGTTTCTCAGGAAGAAAAAAATGCAAAAGATTTAAGCTAGCTAGTTGATTGGACCAGTAATGTCTGTCTATGTACTTCTGAAAATGACCAATAACCTTTACCTTTCCTTATATGTTTTATATGTTTGATTTTATTTTTAAATTCTCATTTGAATATGCTTTACATCTTTTTATGTATTTTAATTTTAGATAATAGGTTATTTAAAACATTATTTTAAAATTTTAGTTTATATTTTTTTATTAATATTATGTTTAATATTTTTTGATTTTTTTGACATATATTTTTTTTGATTTTTAGCATTTTTTTTTTAATTTTTGCGCCTTGCGCCTTAGGCGCAAATTGACCCCTACGCCCTTTTTGCACCTTGCGCTTTTAAAACACTGATCTATCCTTATCCCAACTATATGTGTTTAGCTATACAAATCCTGTTGTGAGGGATCTTTTTGTATGGTATTATTGGTGTAGGGAGTATTGTGTAATTTCTTATTCTTTAATTTTTAGGGACCTCTCTGTAATATTTTTTGTTTCAATAATATAATAGGGTGCAGTTGGCGCCAACACTGACCCAAGAAAGATTCTCTCTCTCTCTCTCTCTCTTTCTCTCTCCCCTCTTGTTCCTTCTTCCTAGGCTTTCTTTGACAGATTACATGGTATCAGAGCATAGGGGTGGCCACGAGCCGAGCTCTTCACGAGCTACTCGAGCT